GTTGCAGAGGCGACAGTCCGCAGGATCACAGTAGTTTCTTGTGTTATGGTCTGTACTTGACCGCGTACTGTGATCACCCAAAAGGCAATCAGACAAGCAAGAAAAGACACTCTCATTGGTCCTCTGGCGAACAATGCCCTTCTGAGGGTATTAACTGTGATATATCGATCACCGCATTCGTTGAAGGTTCTTATGACTTAAAAGCGGATCAAAATGCTTATAAGGACGCATAACATCCAATTCATCCCTGTATGTGTTGCTGTGCATGGTTCAACCTCTTTCTCCTTTCCCACCTGCTCCAGCGTGGTATATCAGCACCGATACAACCCTTTGACACTCAAATTGGGCCGAAGCACGAAGGACTATTCCTCTAGTACTTGGAAAGCAAACCTCATTTCCCTTGCATGATACCAGAGATCTCACAGCCAAAGATACATGGCATCTTAAGCCACCATGCAAATGTAAAGAGACGCATTGTAGATGTATATCGCAAGATCGGTGATACGATGGCGTAACCTCCAACATCAACAACGTCTTCTTCGCATGAAGCGCCCATAGAACGTACGAGATAAGACCATGAATACCCACATCATGGAGCTATATGGACACAACGAGCACACGTAGCTTCAATGGAACCTGAACTGACTGTCCCAGAGAGCCAACAAGAGCCACCAGGCGCCATTCCACGGCCCACTATCAGAAAACAGAAAACACCAGACAGTGTACACCATTGTCCATGACGAATCGGGTAAAAGCCCTGATTTGGGGCTAGCGCATAGGCTCACTGACAGCGCAGCCTATCCACCGGGACGTTAACGGAGTGAATGTACAATCCTTCATATCAAATCTACCATGGAGACGACGTAATAGAAGAGCCCAGGTCCTTGGAGCTCATCCCTGTTGGACATAAAAGTGATGTTTTGATTTCGGAATTTGCTGTTTGTTTACACATCGGAACTTTAAATTTTGTCGATGCCTCGCTGTGAAATATATTACGTAAGATTTCCAGTGTGATTACGTAATCCACTAGTGAGCGATATCCGAGGGCTCTTCGTTTCCTCGGATATCGTCATGGACCCGAGCGCCTCAACGATGGGCATTCGAAGCCGAAAGAGCTCTTGAGACATATTAAGCAATCCATATTGACAACCCCAAACGGGACAAGACCTTGTTGGAGATGTTTCAGTTCACCAGATTGCCAGCTGCTGGTCTTAGAAGAGTTGTGCTCAGAGGCACGAGCATCTCGAGGGGGCCGTTGGCGAAGAGCTACTGTCCCCAGCTCGGGAGATACCGCTTCAACGGCTCAAGATTCCAATCAACAAAGGCTGGAGCCAGTGGGTTCTCTCAGGGAGAAGGTTCACAGAGTGGTGGTGGTCAGCAAGGACAGAAGGGCAAGGGCGAGCAGCAGAAGAAGAAGAGTGGTGTCAAGGCGCTGATACAGGAGTACGGGTACTCTGCGCTTGGTGTGTACCTGATGCTGTCCTGTATCGACTTCCCAGCGTGCTTTGTCGTTGTGCATTCGTTTGGAGCCGATAAGGTGAAACAGGTCCAGACAGACGTGATGAACTACCTGAAGCGAATCACTGGGCTGGGCCACCAGAAGCCGGCTGTTGTGTTGGACGGTGGTGATAGCAACTCCAATGTTGTACCTGAGGAGGAGAGGTCCTTCTGGGAGAGCCCACTGTTCACAGAGGCCATAGTGGCTTACGCATTGCACAAGTCATTGATCTTCATCAGAGTGCCAATTACTGCTGCAATCACACCGTCCGTGGTGAAGCAGCTGCGTAGATGGGGGTTCAATGTTGGCAGACAGAAGCTCTCCACGATTGCTCATCAGGCAAAGGCCAAGACCACCAATGCCATTGTGGATAAGGCCCATGCTGCTGCTTCCAGTCCAAAGTTCGGCACCAGGGTGAACAAGAAGCAGAAATGGACCAGCTGGTTCTTCTGAACGATGCATTGCGAGTCCAATGCTGTAAATAGACGACATAGGCACATAGGTAGGCACATAGTTACTCATACAGGATAAAGAAAGGTGATTATGACACACTCAAAGTAAGTTCCATTAAACCATAAGTAGGAGATGCGATGTATTGTATGTAAAGAAGAATAAAGCCTGACCGATCTGTTTGTACATTAGCACAGATGGGGGAACGTTATTACCACTTTCAGCGGGTCATTGGTTTGAATTGGTGGTGTTATTTGTAAGTTCATGAGAAAGAGCGATGATGCTCTTGAAGAAGGCGAGATTTCCATGTGGGAATCTTACAACTTGGTCTTCTCCTTACGGACAACAGTACACTTGATCAAACCATTTGGATGTGGAGATGGGTAGAACAACTCGTTGTCGTTCTCCAAACCTTTCCATTTCAAGTCAATGAGGAAGTAGTGCTTGTTTGGCAAGGCGTATGAAACCGAGTAGACAGAGCATGCCTTTTCCAAGATCTGAGTAGCCATGTTGAACATCGTGGCCTGCACAGATGGAGAGTTCTCGAGAGCAAAGGTGGTCAAGGTGATCTCTCTAGCCTGGTTGTAAACGTTGTCAAAGATTCCCTTGTCTGCAGCCTTGGCGATGTCGTAGACAGAGCCAATCTTCTTGTTATCCCAAACCCAGGTGGCATCGACGTCGGTGGACAAGATTCTGTCAGTTGTTGGTTGCAAGGTGGTGAAGTCACACTGGTTGTAGCCGTAGAACATCGAGCCGGTGGACTTCAGCACCGTCAAGTCCTTGATGGCAGACGACAGCTTGTAATCACCGGATCTCTTGTAGTACAGGTCAGTGATTCTCTTCTCACCACCTTCGTGGATAAAAGAGTGGTCGTGTGGCTTGCCATCAACGGCGTACTTGACCCATCTGTCCTGGACAATCTTGACGGAGACGCCAGAGACGTGCGAGTACTTCTCAACAAAGTGCGTGGCCAGCTTGGCTGCAAATCTCTCAATTGGCCAAATCTCCGTGGTCTTTGCCAACACGAGAATGGTGTTCTTCACGGTGTCTGTTGGCACGATGGACGAGTTGTCAGCCTCCGTGTACGAGGTGTCGAACCCACCTTCAAGCAGACACGTGACGGTGGCCTCCATAACCTCCTGCTTCTTTGGGTTCTGCGGATCCTTCTTGACCTTGAGGAACTTGACGTTGTCCTTGCCGTAAGTGGATGATGAGAGCGTAGTTGACATTGCTGGTTGTTCTTTCCTGGTGTTCTTTCCTGGTGATCTTCTCTGGTGATCTTCTCAAGTGAACAGGAACGATGGAGGCAACGTGAAAAGCGGATTCCACATGCCTTTTATATTCTTCGTAACCGCCCACACGCGTGAAAACAACAACACTCCGCTCAGCTGTGATACCTCATCGGGGAGGCACCAATAGCAGAGCTTATCAGTATGCGTGTGTGTCCCCTAACGGCGGTTATGTGCCCGCGCCCCACGCTGTCGCCTGCCAACCGGACTTACCCGCTTTTGCTTAATTCCGTTCGATGGAGAACGCCGAGCTGCACAAACCTCTGCTTAGGGGATCACTTATGGCTTGTGAGGGCCCGTGAAGGCCTTCCATCAAAGGCATATTTACATCATATCCCGCGGGTCCATTGGTATCGTACGATTGTCAGGGCAGCAGGTTCCTAACGGTTGGCACAGAGCTCAGAGATTGTGTGCGATATCGCTATCGAGGCTGTTAAAAGTGACACCTTTTGTCGAGCTGGTAGCCGGATCTCTGTCCAAATCAGGCAATTGTCGGGCTTGTCCAGAGCAGTTTCTTCGCTTGTCTATCAAGGTAGGATCAAGACTAAAGTATCGTATCATGCCTTTAGTACACCGTACACAGATGCTGGCACATGGTGTTATGTCCAGGTGTGGCCGGGATGCCTCGTGGCTCCGAGGCATCAGGCACAGCTCACACTTATCAACGATCTACGCGCTGTCAACACATATGTCCAGGGCAGCCATTGGTGTGATCCGAGTCTCTGGCCCACAGTCGTTGTACGTGCTGAGCCAGTTGACACGGGCCAGGTCGCCTCCAAGGCCACGGTACGCCGCCGTGAAGAAGCTGTACTCTCCGCAGTCTCAGCAGCTACTGGACGAAGCGTTGGTGCTGTTCTTTGAGAACCCCAAGTCGTATACAGCGGAAGATCTGGTTGAGCTCCACGTCCATGGCGGGACCGCTGTGATCCAAGCTGTGCTAAAGGCCATTGGAGCCTTACATACCGCCGAGTCTCCCATAAGGTATGCTGAGGCTGGTGAATTCTCCAGAAGAGCCTTTTCCAACGGCAGGTTTGATCTCACAGAGATTGAAGGGATTCGAGAGTTGATCGACGCAGAGACGGAAAGCGCTAGAGTAGCAGCGGTTAACAGTGCCACAGGCTCAAACAAGCTGTTGTTTCACGAATGGAGAGAACGACTCGTCAACGATGTTGGGATGCTCACAGCTATCATCGACTTCGCAGAGGACACGGAGATTGAAGACATTGAGAAGATTTACTCCAAGGTGAACGAAGACATCACAAAGCTCGAATCAGAGATCGAGACGTACCTAGCACGAGGCGAGAGATCAGAGCTATTGCTGAAAGGTATAAAGGTGATCCTATTGGGTCCTCCAAACGCAGGTAAGAGCTCAATATTGAACAAGTTGGCAAGGACAGAGGCTGCTATTGTGAGTGATATTGCAGGAACAACAAGGGACGTGATCAACGTTCCCTTGAACATTAAGGGCTACAAGGTTGTTGTTGGAGATACCGCTGGTATAAGAGACACCTCAAAGGCCGACAAGATCGAAGCAGAGGGGATCAAGAGGGCGAAGGACTTGTCCGAAAAGGGTGATCTGGTTCTCGTTATATTACCCGTGGATGATTTGGAACTTGATGCTGAACTCAAGCAACACATTGATGAGCTCAGATCGAACAAAGATGTTGTTGTTGTTTTGAACAAGTGTGATTTGCTTCAGGAGCCTGAGTCTGAGCTGATTAAAAGATTGTCAAGTGAATTGAAGCTCGATCCTGAGTCGTTTATCGCAGTGTCTTGCCTTACAGAACTAGGGCTGGAAGAGCTAAGCGAGTCTTTGGTTCAAAAGTTCAAACAGATATCTTTGACCGAGAACAACGACCCTATCGTCGTCACCAGCCGTGTTCGTGATATCTTACTATACGACGTTCTATTTGGAATGAGCGAGTTCAAAAAGTTTAAAGATCTAGACGACGTTGTCATTGCCACTGATAGTCTACAACAGTCCATTGAAGGTATTGGCAAGATCACCGGCGAAACAGTTGGGGTTGAGGAGGTCCTAGGTGTTGTGTTTTCAAACTTCTGTGTTGGTAAGTGATCCATTATCATGTACATAGGATAGAATGATTAGCAGATGAATGGCTTGGTATTATCTCTGGATCGTAGAAGAATGTGGTGCACACCGAAAGCAACGAACGCATCATCGCTAATGATAAAGCAAGAAAAAAAATGCGTCAGTCTTCAATCGTGCAGCAAAACTTGTGACAGAACTAAATGCCTTATCTTGTACGGCAGAGTTTGTGATAGTCTGGGTTGCTGCGTTTGTCGAATTGATATGGTTCAAGATTGCTGTGTACATGTCA